GTGTCATTCCTGACTGTCTTCCTTACCTGGAGATAGTAGTGCTCACGCTGAGCTACATTATGAGAAGATTTGGGAGGTTATGAGAAGATTTGGGGATGTAATCATTATAGCATTTATTAGGAAAGTTTCTCAATTTTAATAGCCCTTTGAAAAATAGTGGAATGAGTTTGTAGATTGGACGTATTGCTATGTTACTGCGAAAGCAGTCTTGAAGGAGGTCTTGGACCAGTGTGCTCCGATGCCTTTGGAAATTCTAAGAGAGAAGTGATTGAGAAGGAACCAAGTTTGGCTTTAAAATGTTAGCTAAAGATATAGGAGAAACATGAGCAGACTTGTTTGGCTTACCTTACCTGTAAACTTTTGTCTTACTACCTTCCTTCTATAATTCTAAAATCTTTATATTCCAGCGCCTTTTAAGTGCTCAACATTAGAAGGATTCTTCTTGGTCTTGTTCAAGTAGATGAGTAATGAATAGATTTAAGCGTATCTCCTGTAATACACCTTGGTGACTTTATACCATTTGGTCAGTCCTAGCAAGCTGACATCCATTTAATGAAGTTCTTCTGGCTTACAAAACTGAAGAATATGGAATGCTGTGTATAGAGAGCTGGGAATAGTCAACATTTGAGCTTCAGTTGCCATGTTTGACAATTCAAATTTTGTGTATTATTGAAAATATGTACTTTGTTAGAGTTTAATATTTTTTTGTGACATTTATGCCATAAACTCAAATTTTATACAGATCGTTTCTCCAGAAGTGGTATATACATAATGTATCCATGTTTCAACAGTGGAATCATAAAATAAGGAATTTTTTTCCAATATAAAATACAGTTTTAAAAAGAAAAACTGGCATTGCATTTAACTATATATTTTTAATATATAAAATGCCTTTTCGGAAAGACTAGATGCAAAGCTAGTGGCATTTTTATCATCGTAGCACTTAAGGGCTATATTTCAGAAGCAGGATTTATAGGGAGTTATTTATAACTTGATAGATGCTTTAGATCCATAAATAAGTGTGTAGGACCTGCATCAAAAGACAACCACTACTGATGCCTTAATTTTAAATCAATATGTCTTTTCAGAAAAAGAGAGAAGAATTACATATAGGACCAGCTCCCGGCCCAGTTCATTCATCCCACGATCACATAATGAGTATCTACTGGGGACCACTTAGCCCCAGAGTTAAAAAGCTGAAAAAGGCAGGGATTGTGCCCACAAGGAGCTTATAGTCAAGTGGATAACTTTTACTAAAACAAGGATTGCCAGGCTTGGGACAGAGAGGGGTACTAGTGCAGGTTTTTCGAAAGATTAAAGTGTGGGTATAGGAAGGCCCGTGGATTGCCAGGCTTGGGACAGAGAGGGGTACTAGTCAGTTTTTTCGAAAGATTAAAGTATGGGAATAGGAAGGCCCCTTTCTGGCAGCACAAAAGTAGTTTTGTTAGGAAGCCTTTTACTGTTTTCCCCGCCTAATCCTCTCAGAGTAAACTATTATACTTTATTTCCTTATTTTGTTGAGTAGAAACTACAGAGGTTTTAACTATTGCAGTTTGTACCGGGCCTTAAGCAAGGGCTTGTTTATTGTTCTTGGAGAAAGCAAGCTTGGTAGTCTTGGTTACAATGACAGGCATGAAGTTGCCTCTGAACAACAGTATTCCCTTTTTTTATGTCCCCTGAACCTCCAGGGTTTTAAAGTTAAAGAGAAAATATTAACTAAAATTAAGTATAAAGGGAAAGTATATCCTGTCACTTGCTATGTATAAAAGCTTGCCATAAAAATAAACTCAATGGAAAACATGTTAATTTGTAGCTAGAGGCTAGTATCTGTTGAAGCCTTTGAAACCAGCTACTAAGTAGTAAGTTATAAAGAAGTGTAAAGAGATACGGCAGCAAACTGAGGCTTTCTCTTTGAAATCATCAGAAAAAATTGCAAAAGGGGAATGACTTAAGTGTTTTTTAATGTCCTGACCTTATACAGCTAAAATGATTATCTCCCAAACCACTACCCATTATTTTGGAGATGGTAGAGAATCAGCATTTAAGGTAAACCATTCTTCCAGTTTATAACAGCTACTATTTCTGTGTCTACTATCAGGGTTGCTTTTTAGATGCGTAGTTTATAGTATTTCCCAAGTACCAAGTGTCCATTGCTGCGTGGTTAAGTCTTGCTTTCTTGGATTACTGTGCTTCCCCTACTAGTATATAAATTTTCTGAAAAAGAGGACTTGTGCTTTTTTTTTTCTTCCAGAGCAAATAGTACTGTGTGAAGCAGAGAAGAAGGAAATACTCAGTAATATTTATCGGGTGACTTGATCACCCCTAGTGACTTCTTTAAAGTCACTAGTTTAACCCTTTCCTGTAAATTATTTTTACCCCCGCCCGGACGATTTCACTGACTTGGCATTAGTTTAAGGCAGAATCTCCAGCATTTCTCGGATTAACATTTGTCACTTAGTAGTTTTTACATTGTACCATTATGTTCAAAGGCTTTAATAAGTTTATATTAAAGTCGTGTCTATGAGAAAATAGATAACTGATATTTGTATCTTTCATTGTAAATATTCCTCAGCATATTTCAGTTAAATGCCATGTACTTCTAGCAAACAGTTTTTCTCTGCTGTGGGCAGTAGATCTTAAAGTTTGGTCAATGAGAATGTCCCAAGTTGTCCATTATTTAAGCCTATTTTATTAATATATATAATACCATCATCTCTACTTTTGAGGAATTAATTTTTAAATCATATGAGATCATCTCAGTGGTGTCTGACCAATATTATTGTGTTTTAAATTTTGGTGGAACAAGTGGACTAGTTGGATAGTTTCAAATATCTCTAGGAAGAAAACTGTTGCCTAGAACAAATCTAGAATAAAAAGTAAATTGGTATATACTTAGTAGCTTGCTCACTGTAACTAGATACAAATGTAGCTATATTATCCCTTGGGTACTGTGTCAGATTTTGATACCAAATATCAGTGTGAATGAGCTACATGCTAACAAGTAAAGATTGGAGACTATTATAATACTTTCATCAGTGGAAAAGGAAACATGGAGGTTTTCAGTATTGCCTAGTGAAAGTGATTGAAACACAGATAATAGAGAAAAGGTCTCATGACTACTCTGGCTCCAAGATGGGATGGTTCTTTAGATTGAACCAGCTTTTAATTATATTTAATTCAATATGATAAAATTCTTCTTTAAAAACAGGAGTTCTCATGAAATTTTCAAAAACAGGGTTTTTGTCTGTATCAAGGCTTTAAAAATCTTTTTAAAGAAAGGATTTTATTTGTGAGAGAAGACTTTGTTGACTTGACATCTGCAGTTCAATTTCAGTGTATTTTAAAGAAAATATTCATAAATGTAATGATTAAGTGAGTTTTTATCAAGCATTTACAAAGACCGCATAGCATCATTGGGTTGTGTATTTTTCGTTGCATGTCTGGTCCTCCCATCTGTGACCCTGGTCATCTCTGACCCTCATTCAGTTAGTGTGTATATTAGGGTCTAAAGCATCTTAATTAGGACCCTAAGACCC